CTAGAGATTTCTAATGACATTTATCTGTCCTAAAGTTAAAAGAATGCCCCCTGTGTCTATTGTAGCAATGTAGGAGTAGCTGCTAATTGAGGTGTAAAAGATAGAAGCTGGGTCCAGTTAAGCGAATCGGGTCCCTTCATATAAATAACATGGTCTTGATAGCTCACGTCTTGGGAAACATTCCATGTTTGCCCCATTTGGGGTAAATCTTTCCTTGCAGTGCTCCCTCAGCATTCTGCCTCTGTCTTCATTGTGACAATCTGTTTTGCCTTTTGGTTTGGTTAATTATGTGCTTCTAACTCTTCCACCCCCCGCCCCCCGCCGTCAATCATAAGCCCCTTGAGTGAACAGACTGGGGACTCCTGCAGTGCCCTGCACAGAACTTTGCTTATGTAAAATAGGCATCCAGTATAAGTTTGTCTTTTGTAAATCAAATAATACGTTTAAATTATGTAGTCTTAGTCTTGCTGTTTCAGTCCTAAGAACCTTGACCCTTCCAGTTATAGCAGTGGAGGGAGAAGGGAACAGTGAGATTGGCCTAAAAAGAGGCTTACATGCCATCTGAGCTGGTGGAAAGATGTTCTTCTCCCTAAATCAGTGTTTCACAGCCCAGAAAGCAGGCCCCTGAGGTTTACCCTTCAGTGACTTCCCTCACGTACGTGTTTGGGCAGTAGTGCAAATAAGATTGGGCTGGCAGTGATGAAAATGGAAGAGAGGGTGAAGAGGGGAGGGAGCTGTAGAACGGTTGAACAAGAAAAAAATGAGATGACTGAGATGGCAGGTTGGTGGCAGTGGGCTCACTGGTCTGTATCAGGACTCTGAGACTAGGGGTCCACGCCCTGGGTGGTGGGTATCATCATCCCCCCCTCTCCCAGTTCCTGAAAGAATATGTGGCATCCAACAGTATGTGGAAACAGGATCAGTAGTTTGTAGTGTGTTGACTTTCTCAGCCTGACCAGAGCCTGATCTTGGAATTAGGGGAGGGTCTGGAAAAACCCCTTTATCACCATCCCCTTAGCCTAACCAGCCGTGCTTCCAAATGGCTACGGGATGATTAACAATCAATAGGTGACAGTTATTGAGAGATGATAGGTCAGGCAATGTGCTAAGCACTTAGGTATTACCTTTTTTAATCGGCGCACCTCTGAGCTGGGTTAATTGTTTTGTAGATGAAGAAACTGAGGTATGTAGCTACTATAGAGTACAGCCAGAACTGGAACCCAAGCACTTGGATTCCATCTCCCGCCCTCTTTTAACTACTACACCAAACTGCCCAAGGAGCCTAGATCCACCCCATCCCCTCTGTTCAAAGTTGTTTTCTAAAAGGGGGCTGGTGTAGCATGAGCAAGCTACCTCGTGGTAGCCGGGCTCTCCCAGTCGCAGGATCAGCACCTGCCAACTTTGTTACACAGTAGCTAGATCTCTGTGAAGCAGGATTGGTTGCTGTCCCCTAGGAAACACTGCATGAAGTGGGTGTGACGTAGAAAGTCACCTATCCAGCCTCTCTTCATGTGTGCTGGGAAGTGGAGAAGGACGAGAGGACTAGAGGTTTGCTTTTCATCTTACGTTGTTAAGGTTTATGTTAGTGTTTTTCTCTAGCCTTGATCAGAATGCTTATAGATGATTTCCCCTGTGACTGGGGGGAGGGGGGTGGGCAGAAAGACTAGCATATTAACCGTGAAGATAAATGCCATCCCCGCTTTCTGATAGGCTTTTCTTAATTAAATCTATGCTGTGCTTAAAGAATTATATATCAAATGCAATTCTGGTGAAATAGAACCCATTGACATTACATAAAGAATTGTCTGCCTTTTTGATTCAAAATATGCTGCGAGGGGGGGGGGTGGCTTTTATTAATAAGTTCCTGTTAAAAATAAGGAGGATGGGGCTTCCCTGGTGGCACAGTGGTTGAGAGTCCACCTGCCGGTGCAGGGGACGCAGGTTCGTGCCCCGGTCCGGGAGGATCCCACATGCCGCGGAGCAGCTGGGCCTGTGAGCCATGGCCGCTGAGCCTGCACGTCCGGAGCCTGTGCTCTGCAACGGGATAAGGCCACAGCAGTGAGAGGCCCGAGTACCGCAAAAAAAAAAAAATAAGGAGAATGAAACATGCAATAAATAGGTAATAGAAATGAGAAGAGATAATCAGTCAACTAAGAAGAAATTCTTAACTCAGATCTGATGAAGGTATTTGATCCTGAAAGGACGTACATTTGAGGCTGTGGCCATTGCTTCACCTTACCTCCACTGGGTTCTGTTTTAGGGGCCCATACTGATGGAGCTGCAGACTTACCGTTACCATGGGCACAGCATGAGTGATCCTGGAGTCAGGTATGGTCATGGGAAAACTGAGTGTGGTGTCCGAAGTGGATGGGCTTTGAATGGTGCTACTTAGATGAAAAAGCAAAGCATTTCAGTGTGTGTTTGCTTTTGAAGCCAGACACCAGTTGGCTTCATGCATTGATTTAGTAGTTAGTCTGAGCCTGAAAGCCGTGCCTTCCAATAGATTGGTTCCAATATAGAAAGCATTCTGAAAATTCCTCTAGTGTGTACATGCTAGTTAGCATGAGCACCAATAAGAAAACAGTTGCAGAGAGGAATTGTTGCATAAAACAGGACTGATGGTAGAGTAGGATACTTGGGGGCATTTACCTTTTGTAGGCATTACCCCAGATTCTCATGGCATATTCCTCTTCTGGCTGGAATGGAGCAAGACCAAGTAGCACGTGGGATATTCCATATGTTGAAATAAATCAGTCAAAAAAAAAGGAGTTTTGTCACCTGGCAACTCTGGCATGTAATGCTGCAGTCCCGGAGTGTGGCATAATTAAGAGTAGATTTAGTCAAAGTAAGCCGTAATAAGTCTTTGAGTATAGAATGAAGGCCTAAGGGAAAATGTTATGAAGAGCAGCTTACATGGAAGAAAGCACTTGGTGTAATTCTGTTCTTAAAAAAATGGTAGAGCCTTTCTTTGCTTTTAGTGTTATTTCAAGTGCTGTAGGACAAGGGTCAGTTGTACAATCAAGAATCGGAAAACCTCCTCTCCAAGTTCTTGCCAGCCACACTGCTCTGTGGTCTTAAGGGAGAAAAGGCAAGGCACATTTTTTTTGTGCTTAGCCTTCTGCTGCCTCAAAGGTTATAGCTATCACCACAGAAAACCATCTCCCCTGCCTCCACCACTACCTTCACGCCCGACCTCTAGATCAAGTAGCAAATAGAAACTTGGCGCCTGTTGTCAGAATGCCAGAGAAGCCAGGTGAATTGCCATTGTAGAGTTTTCTATAAAGACAGAGCAGCTCTTCCTTACAGAATATTAGGATGAGTTCTTGTATTTTGAAAGTATATAATTCTGCCCTTCTTACGGTGACGTGAGTACTGATGTGCTCCTTCGTCTCAGAAACAGACTGCTGTGTTTCCCAGACTGTCTCTGCTGTGCCGGCACTGTTCTTATCTACTTGTAACTCTGTTTCCCTCCCTCTAGTTACCGTACACGAGAAGAAATTCAGGAAGTTAGAAGTAAGAGTGACCCTATCATGCTTCTCAAGGATAGGATGGTGAACAGCAATCTGGCCAGTGTTGAAGAACTAAAGGTACAGTGACTCTTGATGGTTTAAAAGTAAGTCTGCCTTTGAAGGTTGGCTCTCCTTTTTGAGCAGTTTTTCTCTACACAAGAAGCTGCCACTCGGTAAACTAGGTAAGTAAGTGGGAAAGTACATACTGTATTCGGTTGGCCAAAAATTTTCCGAGCCATGTTGTGGGAAAACCCCGATGTTGTGGGAAAACCCCGATGTAGAACTTTTTGGCCAACGCAGTATTTTTCACAGGACATTAACCTCCTCCACCATCAGTTCTGCTTTCCTAAAAATATACTGTAGATTTTTAATTCATAAATGTTCCCTCGCCAGGGTATGTGTCTTAATGTTGGTATCTGTCCTCCAGAATCCCCCTTTGTGGATCGTTGTGTCATGGTTAAACTAACATTTTCAATAATAATAGGTATACTGCCAGTACTAGTAGAGAGTTAACAACTAGCAAGAGGTTCCCAGTAGAACAAGTTGGTACCTAAGCTGCTGTCTATTCAAAACATCTCTTGAACTGTAATCTGATTGATTTTTAGGAAATTGATGTTGACGTGAGAAAAGAAATTGAGGATGCTGCCCAGTTTGCTACAGCTGACCCTGAACCACCTTTGGAAGAACTCGGCTATCACATCTACTGCAGCGATCCGCCTTTTGAAGTCCGGGGTGCAAACCAGTGGATCAAGTTTAAGTCCATCAGTTAATGCAAGATGGTACACCTTCAGTTGGGTATTCAGCAGCAACTGTAAGGAATGCTTTGGGTTCTCAACTTTGTTAAGGAGGGAAAAACCCATAGAAAGAAAGTGTAGATTTAGATAGATAGATAGATAGTGTAATTGCATGTGGTTTGTACAGTGTTGCATTAAAAGATACAACGTCTTTTAATGTTATATCTTAAGGATAGTATGGATCTTATTATAAAGGTTATTTTAGTTATATAGGTCTAAAATAGGTAATAAGAGTTTGCTTAACCCTCCTTCAAATTACTTCTTTAAAATAGTTCTATTTGGTTTAGTTGTATACTCGTTTAACAAATACTTTTTTAGTTACTAAAAGGAGAAACAATTCCTTATATGCCTGTCCAACTCTGCCACCTTTTTGTGGGGTGATCATTGTCCTGTCCCTCCCAGTGCCCAGCAGCTTACCTGGTGTACCCTAACGTGCACACACGCCCCCATTTGTGTGCATGTCGGTGCTGAAGCCTGTTCACACTGAACCATCATTTCTCCTTAATAAAACACAGTATTTATTATAACCAGGCAGGGGTGGAAGGACAATTCGATTTTTAAATAAGACTACTTCATTTTAAAGGCCAAATAAGTTAGTTTTCTCCATTTATACATTAAGTATAAATATGAAGCTATTTTCTTAATAGTTTTCTATTTACAGTCATATCAAACATTAAATACAAGGCATATTCTTATCAATTTTAAGTGCAATTCCAGTTAATAGTAATGTATGGAATGTGTGATCTAAAACAGTGATTCCCAGCCTTTTTGTTATTTTAAACACCTGTTGTTTCACCTTTCCAGCAGATATTGTTCCATTGAAGTAAATTAAAATTCATTTTTAAGGATTCCCTAATACTCTGGGATGTCAAGACCAGGTTTTACAATCACTGTTTTCACAATACATACAAGTTCTACTCACCTTGAAAACATGTTGATAAATAAAAGGTTAAAATTTTTTCCATCATTCTTTAAAACTTCAAGTTCTTAAATTGTTCATTGAACAAGCGGTGTTTTCCTTGCGTAAGTGCAGCAGAATTCGTGTGTATGTTGTCCGCTCTTTGCTCCCTGTGTCCCCTGGCTTAGCTGATTGATTAAGCCTCATCTTGGGTTGCCGGGGCCCCCCGAGCCTGTCTTCTGTACTGGGAGACTGCAGTCCAGAGCCTGCAGAGGAGACCACCACTACGAAACAAACAGGAGTCTTCTTTAGAGAGTCGTAAGAGAAGACAACTTCAAAGCAACACAGCAGAATACTTCTTTAGGAGCCCTTATGGCAAAAGCTATAGTATATCCTTCCAGACTTGTCTAGATTTGTTGTCTAGCCTTAAAAATGCAGTCCCTAACTTGAAAACTTACTTAACTAAAACAGGAATATGTTCTCTTCACATATGGAGGTGACACTTGTGCCTTAGCAGGAGTGGGACATGGCCCGAGAGGTACTGTACATGAGTGCTGCTGCATCTGTGCAGAGCAGACTATTTAAGATGACGTGGGGATGAGAAGGCAGGGTGCAAGTTAAAGAAAGAAGGCTTTGGGTGTAGTAGCCCACTAGCATCTCATGTCTCGCTTCACTCCACTCCCAGCCAGGCCTGTCTCTTGACTTTTTCTACTGGGCCTTTAGCTTCTGCCCCCTCTCAGCTTTTCCCCAACTTTAACCTTGAAAAACTCCAGAGTTTGGAGTGAGGTTGGTAGTTTTTTTCCTGACTGAGCCATAGAAAAGGGAGTTAACGTTAATGAAGGGGGGAGAGTTACGTTACCAGCACTTTGTTTTCTACTGCTTTACTTAAAAGCCTAATTACAGGGGCTTCCCTGGTGGCACAGTGGTTGAGAGTCCGCCTGCTGATGCGGGGGACACGGGTTCGTGCCCCGCTCCGGGAAGATCCCACATGCCGCGGAGCGGCTGGGCCCGTGAGCCATGGCCGCTGAGCCTGCGCGTCCGGAGCCTGTGCTCCGCAACGGGAGAGGCCACAGCAGTGAGAGGCCCGCGTACCGCAAAAAAAAAGCCTAATTACACCAAAAAAGTCATTTTCTGTTCCACGAAGTGTTTTGAGGCTATTCTCACCGTAGTCTAAGGTACCTTAGGTCTTCCTTAGTGATATAAATAAGAATATCAGAAAGTGTAAAACCTTCTTCAAGAATCTGAAACAAAGATCAAATACATTAAGAGCTAAGCAGCTCTGTAATGATAGCACAGGAATGGTTTGTTGGTTGTAAGTTTACCTTTTCAATTGTTTTCGTATCCGCTCCTTGCAGTTGCAACCAGTCGACAAGCTCTTCTTCTGTTCTCTGCCCATAAGACCGAGGAGGGGAGGCTGAGTTCTCTGTAATCTCTGTAAGGATTAGAAAGTTATGTTGTATACTGATGTGTAACAGCAAAATTCTTCAAGTAACAAGTTGGATCAAATAAACTATTATTCCAGAATGTGATGTGAAAAGGAAATGGATTAAACCTGGCTCAGCTGCTCTGCTACACACTGTGCAACAGTCCATAGTCCTTGGAGTCACTTTCCAGAGATTAAAAATGTTCCTTACCTGTGATACTTCAAACTAATTATCTCCTACTTTAAATGTGTATTCCCATCTTTAAAATGCCTTTTCTAAGAAATCATATCCGTAACTGCACTGGAATTCAAATGAGGAAATAGGTTTTAATACTGAGATTTTTGGCCTCACAGCTTATCCATTCCCCACTCCATATCCATTCCCCACTCCAAGAGGCACCTGTAGCCCTTTTGGGCACCAAATGCATAAGGCTGGTTGACTGAGGTATAATTTATGCCGTAAACCACCCTTTTTAGGTATGCAGTGCTAAGAACTTTGACAAGCAGAGTCACATAGCCACCACCACAATCAAGGTAGAGATATTTCTATCACGCCAGAACGTTCTCGTGGCCTTTTATCATCAATTCCACCCCCCCACCCAGTTCTATTTTCTGTCCCTGTAGTTTTGCCTTTAATAGAATTTCCTATAAACGTTCTACATTTATGGAATCATAATATGTAGCCTTTTGAATCTGGCTTCTCTCACTTGCATAATGCATTTGCGATTCATCTGCTTTTGAATGTACTGATAGTTCCTTTTTATTATTGACCAGTATTCCGGAATCTTACTGGAGTACTTACTGGTCTGATCGAGAATAACCTCAACTGTTTCAAGGCTGACTAGAGTACTAGCCAGATTTTGAATGGTCTCACACACACATAAGTCAGAGCAAGTGGAAAATCACTCACCATTAGATTTGAATTGTAACTACAGGTGATACAATTCTTGAGTTTTCTGTTCTAGGGTTTGCCGTAGAAGATTCTGGTACTCTCTCTCTTTTTGAACTAGGTGTTCCAAAAGTCTGGTTTAAAAAAAAAAAAGCCATCCTCCAGAGAGAGCGTAATACCATTCAATTCAATTCAAACATTTGTTGAACAATTCAGAGGTTTAAAAAAAATAAAAAAGGCACAATCCCATCGGTCAGTCTAGTTTCTTCAAAGTTGTGTGATCAGGTTTCAGCCTGTACGTGAGCACCTTTCTTGTGCTCCCTCCCCTTGTAAACAAAGACCAACGCTCAGGGCGTAGGTATATTTTGCCTCAGAATATGTATCATGAACCAAAAGATAACCTGATGGTGATCAGTAGAACTCAGCCAACTTGTCTCCCTAAGTCAGGTCAAGTCGCTGAAACTAGTGGTCAGGCCCTTCCCTCCTCACCAGAGAGTAAGCCAAGGAGATAGAAGCCCTGCTGCTGTTGGAACAGCTAGGGGGAAGTAGGAACTGCAGGAAAGACTCTTGCTGCTTGGAAGGTGAGAGGGACACTACTGCGAACACTTACCCAAGACTGCGCTAAACGCTTCACGGGCCTTGGTCTCACAGACACTACTCAGGACAGATGTGTTACCCCCGTCAGCATCACTCAGGGCCAAAGGTGCCTTCCTGCTGTGCCCAACAACAGCTAAGGCATCTCCATCCTACAAGGGCAGGCGTGTCTGTAGGAGCTGTGTGTCTGTCAGCCATTCGCAGTCAGGTGCTGGCTGCTGTCTCATTACTAATTCTACTGAGATGGAAGATAACAATATTGACCCTGGAAAGGAATAACCTTTGAACCCATATATAACATTTTATGAATCTGGTGATTATAAACCTTACCAGAAACACATTTTAAAGAAGGGCTAAGTACTACTATCAACTTTCACATTTGTCATTTTTTCAAAACTTAAAAAGAGTTTTGCCACCACTACCAGTTAATTAAAACAGGGCCTTTCTAAAAAGAAATGATTAGATCTGCCTAAAATTAAACTTCAGAGATCCCTAGGGGTGTGTACAACTTTTCTTCCGAAATAGGTATGCCTGACACTGTTTGTCCCCGTTAAATTTTAGCATTCCCAATGACCACTGGGCAACAAGGCATCATTTGGAACCAGTACCAACTAGTTTGCTAAGCCCACTGATGACGTGGTTCCCCAGCGCAAATGGGAATCTTTTTGTTCATTTAACAAATACGTTTTGAACACCTACTATGTGCCTGGAAATAAACAAAAGGGCCCAACTCTTGTGGGAACCTCACGGCAGTGCCAGGGTCCGCTGTCGGGGAAGGTGGTTCACTAATGCCTGCCTAGGGATCATGACAAAACACAAGGGAGAGATTCAAAGAGGACAGGGCAGACTTCCTTGGGGTCAGGGTTATGGGATACCTGTCCATCAACGCAGTGCTAACTGACCCCCAACTCAGCTACTTCGGCAGGGGCAGGCCGCAGATGTCCCCCCGAGTTGCTGGACCCACACACCATGTCAGGGAACCCACCTCGGTAAAGAGACAGAGAAAACTCTGAGATGCTGCTGCCTTTAGTACGGCTTGTGGCAAGGCACTCTACGTCTCTTGACTCCTAGCATTAAAAAAAAAGGGGGGGCATCCTTCTAGTCCCCCAGTTGAAGCTGAGAATATCTCCTTGCGCAGTTCCTTGGGGGGTAAAGATGCTTTTCTGAGACCTGGGTGAGGCACTCGACCACTGAGTTGACGGGCTAGTCCAGGTCATTGTCCCACCCCTGCCCACCTGTTGGTCTCCTGCCTGAGCTTGCTCAGCTGGAGGCTCAGATGCTGCTGGTGGAGCTGCTGGGGCTGCTGGGGCTGGGCCTCCTGGGCAACTGCTGAAACGGGCCTGCTCCACCCACACGCCACCTGCGCCTCGCTCCCGCGTGGGTCTGCCGGGGCATAGTCCTCTTCTGCCTCATCCGTGTCCTTATCCACCCCTTTGGTCCCTGAGCCAGCCTCAAAGTGGGCTCGGAGCTCTGTGGAATCACGGAAGAAAAGGACCACGGTTCAACAAGGCCAGGGCTTGGTGTAGCTTATGTCCCGGGCCAGCAAATGTGGCTGTTCAGAGGCCGGCCAGGCCAATGCGATGCTCCATCAGGGGACTGCTGACTTTATAAAATGGAGAGGAGACTATTTCACTTAGCTCTGCAGTGAAAAGATGGTCCCCACCACTTCACAGATAAGGAAACAGACTTCAAGGTGTTTAGTTAGCCAAGGGCAGTTTTAAAAAGGGACAAGCGGGCTTCCACCCAGGCCTGTGTTTTTACTACAAACACTTTCCTGCTTGGACTGGGGAATAATGAAGTCCTGGGGTTTAACAAGCCACTCCCAGAAGCTGAGCCTGGGCAGAGTGCATTCAGGGGAGCAGGCAGAGGACAGGGAGGGAGCAAAGTAATGAGAGGAAGGGGCAGTGTTAACCGAAGCGCCACATAGCCTCCCTTCCTAGGAAGAAGGCACCGCGGAAGGAGAATCAACTTGGGTATTAAGCTGCTCTAACATTTCAAAAATAGAGCCTATAAAAAGCCAAAGATTTCTGTAGCTGCCACATGATGATTCTGAGAGAGGAGACTGAGCCGTTAAATCGTCAACCAACTAGGAGGCGTTGCTGAGCACACAAGATGACGCACTGTAGGAGCCAGGCCGTCAGGCTCAGTGCTCCTTTGAGATCCTGAGTTTAGTCTACCTGCGGTGCGTGCTCCTCAGTTATGCCTAGGGGCATGTAAAAATACATCACCAGGAGATGTTCTCAGAATCACAGAATCTCGGCCCTAAAGGGGTCTGTGACATCATTTACTTAATTGCAGAGACGTACATAGCCAAGATGGGAAAGGGAAAGCAACAATTGGTGAGTACAGAGGACCTGTGTGACCTTTTCCATAGCCACCTGAAGTTGACCTTGACCAAAAAGAGGGCCCTTACCTGGGATGAGGATGGTGACTGCAGCCTGCACCGCTCGACGGATGATGTTGTCCATCGCAAACATCCAGTGGGGCCTAATTAAGTGGTTCCTCAAAATTTTATTTACCTACAAATCACAAAAATCCAGATTTCTGGTCCATTGTACTTTTAAGAAATAGTTCTTACTAATTCGAATTTGCTTCTACTCTGAGATAAAGGGTTAACCGTGCTGCCCTGAGTTTCTGCCTGACTTATGTTTCTTCTGGACTGAGTCTTCCTTTAAGCTGACCCCAAGTCACACGGGGGTCTAGGGGACAGGTACAGAGATCGGAGCTACTGCACGGGCCTCTTCATTGTTTATTCAACGAACATTTATGAAGCATCTATGAAACCTCAGGCTCTGTGTTGGGGACTTGAGACACAAAGCTAAGCCAGACACGACCTTGGGCCTGGAGGAACTCACACCTGTTCGGGCAGACCCATAAGCTTAAACCCCACACCTACCCAGCTGGCAGATGCCACTCGTTCCCAAATCCTATACTCCTGCTCTCTGTGGCCATAATGCAATCAGACCAGTCACTTGTATACACATATTCAGTGTTTAGAAAACTGCTGACACTCGGGATTCAGGCGTAAACAGGTGAGAAGAGATGGAGACTACGGGACATGATGGTAATCGAACTCCATGGTCTTGGCTGTGAGCCACTTCAGTGGGCTTCCTACCTTCTGGCATGTTCTCTAGGGCCAAATGGAGCACTTACAGCATCCTGAAATCCAAAGAGTACCAGATGAATCTGACTGATGGACGAGCTGTCAAAGTCCAGGTCCACCTTTAGTTTTGATATCGTGGATGCCATCACCCTGTGGTCCGGGCAGCGGATGAAGTCTCTCAGGATCGCAATTATTTGCTTGATGTGGCCGACTGAGAGATGCAACTCTTCCGAACTCTGATCACCAACCCCCCACCCAAAAAAATCAGTCACTGAGTAATTCAGAGAGAGGGAGGGAAAATCCAAGAAGTACTTTGGGCAACTAGATTAACCAGACTGTCCATTTGCTAATGGAACTGGGGATTTTCCAGGCGAGACACGGGCTCTGGTCCTGGAATTTCCTCCATATCCTTCCTGTTAGAGGGTTATGTGGCCCCCTTCTCCTCTCTGGCCCACAAACAACAGAACTAAGCCCCTCAAGGAATGGTCTGCCATCCTGTTTAACCCCTTGTAAACCACCCTCCACCCCCAACAGGCCTTGTCACAAGGCACAGTTCATAGGGGGCAGTGGCCTCTTGCTAGAAGGACCTTTTCCCATCCAAAATGAGTTAAAACTCAAACATTTCCATCCGTAACCTTTCTTCCTAAAGCGGCTGTTCTCCCAGCTTCTGAGGGCAACTGGTGCAGCTGGGGGTTAACTGGGCTTTGTGCTGTCATTTGGCTTGTTTTCCACCAGGAGGCAGCACTGCCCCATCAGTGCCTGGTTTCACGGCAGTGTTCCGCAAATGCAAAATCAGGCTTCAATGGAGTCTTTTTTTTTTTTTTGTATTTTCTTTTGTTTTGTTGGAAAAGGGAAGGACGTTGGGAAATACTTAGGGTGGTTCTTGTAACTGTGCAAATGTTCTAGGGTAGCAGGAACACCAGTCCCATTTGGACCTCTTCTGGGACCTGGCCTTGGGCGGAGGGCGTGGGATTGCAGCTCCCGCACTCGGCCTGTACCTGGGCCACGCACTCCTGCAGGTTGGAAGCCACCTGGTTCTGCTCCTCCCAGAGGATTCTGTAGAGGATGGCACGGCGCTCGCTGTCCTTGCGCAGCAGGAAGAGGCCCAGGTCGCTGTCCTCCAGGGACGAGGCTGCGCTCCGGTCCTCTGAGGCCGAGCTCTCATCAGGAACACTGCGGACAAACGCAGGCGACAATCCCCCGCCTCCCAGGGACACCGTGGGGGAGGGGCTGAGAGGTGGCTCCGCCGCAGCCCCACCCTCAGGAAGATGCACCAGTGTTAGGGGCGAGGGGAAAGACGGGGAAAGGAGGGAGGGGGAAGGAGGGGGTAAGAGGGAGAGAATAAGGGGTGACAGGGGAGGAGGAGGAAACAGGAGGGAAGGGGAAGGGGAAGCGACGAGGGGGAGGGGAAGAAGAGGAGAGGGGGAGGGGAGGAAGAGGAGGGGGGAGGGGAAGGGACAGAGAGTGACCTCACTGCCCTCCTCTCTCTCACTGTCAGTGGCCGCCCCGGCTGCCCTGCTGATCGTGCAGAAAGGAAGCAAAAGCCCTTCGCGGCCATCTGGTTTACACCTGGGAGGGACTCTGTCCTCCGAGTGGGGGGTGGCCGTACCTGAGCAGGTGGCTGAGCCGATGCGTGGGCGTCTGGGACTTCTGGAAGAACACGTCGGGCTGGGCATCGGAGTGTGGGGAGACCGAGCCATGCTCACTGCTGCTGCTGCCGCCCATCAGCTCTCCCGCCAGGGGCAGGGGCAGCGTGGCGCCCCTGGGACCCTCTGTGCGGGGCAGCCGGGGATGGGGACAGTGAGCCCCAGGCAGCCCCTTGGGCCACGTGACGCACCCAGGGGCCTAAGCCCGCGCTGCTCTAACTGGGGGTGCAAGCGATCACCCAGGGATCCTGGGGAGATGGAGGTTCTGCTTCAGCAGGTCCGGGATGGGCCCGAGACTCCGCATTTCTAACCAGCCCTTCGGACACGCTGAGACAGCGAGTCGCTCTCTGGGTGCAAGATGCTGAGGCACCCTGTCCCAGCTCCCGCCCCATCCACACCGGGACCACTCGTATATCACTGCCCGGTAGGACCTACTGCCCCAGAAGGTGTTGCTTGCTTCGGTGGCCTGCAGGACAGACACCCTTTAACCAAGGTCGGGAGCAGCACAGGGTGACAGGCCAGGCTCCAAAGATGAAGCGCCAGGTTCTGCACCTGGGGAAGACACAAAACCCCAGCCAGGGTACCTCCCACCTCCCTCCCTGGCACAATCCCAAAGGAAAGGCTTTAACGGAGCATTGGGTATGTGAGGTTCATCGCTGTCACCTATGGGGCTCCCTGTGTCTCCGCGTCCCACACCTAATGCACCAGCCCCACCGCTCTTCACAAACACGGGCACCGTGTGGGAAGCTCAGCGCTCGGGAGAGCCGTCACCTCTGCCATCCCAGCAGGCCTCACCTGCCGGCTTAAAAGCAATTCGGTTCTTCTGGCCCTTGTTCACCTGCCTTAAGAAACCCTCTTGGAGCAGTCCAGCAGCGGTGACACGTTTGTGGGGGTCAGGCTCAAAACAGGATAAAACGAAGGCTCTAGCTTCCGCTGAAAGGGTTTCTGGAATCTCAGGGTGAATCTTAAACACGCCCACCTGCAATGAAGGCAGAGGTGACCGATGAGACAGTGTGGTCTCGGGCAAATCCAGGTGTACATACCTTCCACACAAAGCTCCTGTATCTGCCATCCTAGGAGGGGCTGATGATGGATTCCAACAATGGCCTCCATGACTGCTATCCATGTCCTAGCCCCGGCTGGCCTCTGGGGACTTTGCTTTGCCCAGTAGATTGTGGGGGAAGTGATACTGGTGGGGGGTTCAGAGCCTAGGCCTTAAGAGGCCTTGGGGCTTCTGCTCTAGTCCTCTCGGAGCTCTGAGATCACTACGCAGGGAGGACGCCCAGGATGAAAGGCCACGTGTGAGAGGCCCTCTGAGAGCATCGCGCCCTGGCCTCTCAGTCTCTACGCCTTCACAGCCCAAACCTCCAACTTCCAGCTGTAAACCACAGGCAGAGCAAACCTGGAGGCTGGTAACTCAGGGCCCAAGCCCTCATCCCCACGGGGTGCAACTGGCTGAGGGAGGCGGCGCTGCCCTTTCCTGTTCAGGCTCCTGCTGCAATTTCTGCTTCAGCTCCACTGCTGGCTAGCTCATCATCGTCCTGCCGCAGGCTCTCTGTCCCTGCGCCCTGTGGGGGAGGAGTTTGGGCTGAGTCGTCACATCTCACTGTGACACGGGAATGCTTCCACGAGTCCGGCTCATCCATCCTGCGTGACCGTTCCCATCAGGGACGGCTCTCCATTCATCTGAGGAGTTGTCATCTTTAAAGTTCACGGTCTTCTCCTCATCGTCTCCAAGCCCACCCAATGAGCCAGGAGTGGAAGCCATTCTGTCCTCCAGATGCACCCCATTCCCAGCTCCTCGGCAACCATGGGGCTGGCGCGGCCTCCCCTGCCCGCTCAGTGAGACCGGGGCGCTGCCGAGAGCAAACCGCCAGCCTCCGACTTCACAGCCTGAAGTCCCTGCACCAGGGGCGCACCAACCGCTTCTCACACGCTGCTCCTCATGGGCAGGATGGAGAGTTTGGCATTGAGGGGAGGGGGAAATGGGGCATTACTATCCACTGGGCACACATGGCACTTAGATGAATAATTTCTAGCGATCTGCTGTACAGTGCTGGACCTTGACTCAAAAATACTGTTAAGAGGGTAAATCTCATGTTGTGTTCTTACCACAATAACACAACATTTTCAAAAAACGAGTTTTGGATTTTGAGAACACTAAACACTGGATAGAATTCAACCCGCAAGATGTGAAATGCAGGGCACATTCCAGCTGGCACCCCTCGCCTGAGGGGTGGGGATCTAAGGGCACTAGGGGGGTCCAGAGACAAAAACTCAGGACAAGAACTCAGAGAGGAAGGGAGTAGCTTCTCCCCAGGCTCTCAAGAAGAAAAGTGCAAACATGGGCACTACGGTTTTTTTTGTTTTTTTAAAAAATAAATTTATTTATTTTTGGCTGTGTTGGGTCTTCGTTGCTGTGCGTGGCTTTCTCTAGTTGCAGCGAGCGGGGGCTACTCTTCGTTGTGGTGCGCGGGCTTCTCACTGCGGTGGCTTCTCTTGTTGCAGAGCACGGGTTCTAGGCACGCGGGCCTCAGTAGTTGTGGTTCGCGGGCTCTAGAGCACAGGCTCAGTAGTTGTGGCATGCGGGCTTCAGTAGTTGTGGCACGTGGGCTCTGGAGAGCAGGCTCAGTGGTTGTGGTGCACGGGCTTAGTTGCTCCGCGGCATGTGGGATCCTCCCGGACCAGGACTCGAACCCATGTCCCTTGTATTGGCAGGCAGATTCTTAACCATTGCGCCACCAGGGAAGCCCACCAGCTGCTATTTATTCCGAGGCCTGTAACTGAAGCTGCAGGAAGATCTTTGCCAGCCCCAGGTGGCTCCATCCTGGACAGGCATGGAAAGGCTGGAAGGTCACTGCTGCCTGCCAGCCGCGGTGTTCAGGGTCTTGTTGGGATTGCAGGTGCCAGGAGACACTCGTCAACTTGAGATCTTGCCTTTAGGGCTATCTCACAGCTGCTGGGAGGGTGGGAAGCTCAGAGAACCTTCTGCAGGGGCTGGGCTGAGGAGTGCACCAAGGCATCAGAGCACAGGGCGTTCAGAACCCGCTGAGCAGGCTGCACCCAGCTCATGGGCAGAGCCCTGCACTCGGGCCTTTGAGTTCCTTCTGCCGAAGAGACTGAGCCAGAGGGCCTGGCAAGGATGCAGGCGGGGAGGCTGTGGGGCTGACAGGCCTGGGAGGCCACCAGGCTTGGTAGAGAAGCAGGAAGAAAGGCCTCTGGAATCACGTTCCATCAGGCTGCTTCCATGTACTGTGACCTTGTCATCCGTAAGCAGTGGCCACTTAGCCTTCTGGGACCCTGCTCTCTTCCTTCTTATCTTTGGGGCAAACAAAAGTGCTCCGCGGAAGGTCAGTGCTGGTAACGACCTCTGAAGGCTACAGCTGCTCTTCAACTTCTCCAAGCGTCCACGGAGCCAGAAGCCGCAGACCTGACCTCGGATACACTGGCTGTCCTCGCATCAGCTTCCCTTGGGCTCGCAAGCAACCACGTCCCTTCCCAAGGGAGCATGTCCAGTGTAAAGCCCCACCCAGTCAGTCAGGGCCAGTCAGTACCACGTGGGCCTCAACACACGGGTCACCCTTCCTGTCAGCTCTGGGAAGGCTTTTAGAAGGACAAAGGAGACAGCATCTGATACCCAAAGATCCTCCTCTCCAAATCTAGACAGAAAGCTGTCCTCCAAAGACACACCCAACACGGCCCTTGAGCCTTACCCAGTGTAAGAGCGCGTACAGATTAACTAAGAAGCTTAACTCCCTCAGTTGGAAAGAAAGAAAGAGATACCCCCCACCTTTCTTAGAGCATTCACTTTAGAAAACCTGTCATTCTAAGTTCTGTGTCTCTCTTCGAGATATATGTAAACCTTTTTAAAAGCCAAATAAGCCTCTTGCCAGAAATATCTTTCTCAAGGACCTGGGAGCCATCTCTTTGGAATGCCACCGCCGAGGAAGGTAGCGCTCCAATTTCCGGGTTTCTGTGGGAAAGCAGGAGCCTAACTTCAGTGGAGCCTTTTGCTCCAGAACTACGTCCCGTCCTAAAGGTTTGAGAAGTTGATCTTTCCTTTGGGTAAAGCCAATTAGCTAACACAAGTGGTCACTCTAGTTGTCAGGGGAACCTCGGGTGAACTCCTGTGACCAGTGGTGCTGTCTAGTCCTTGCACCTGAGGACTAGTCAGCATTTCTCTTCAGAACACGGATGTAAAGGGCTGCATCTGCTTGGCTAGAGGAAAGGCTGAGTTCCGCTTTCCAGTCTCTTAGCGCTCCACTCTCTTGTGCCTGTGACGCACATCACATTCTGATTTTATGCTTATTCAAAAACAAAACAAAACAAAACAACCTGTATGCTTTCTCTTCCACCTTTGTGGAGAGGTTTCTGGATTGGGAGATTTTTGATTTGAATTCTCGCTCTCCAACACCAGCAACCTAAACCATCCAACATGTCTTACTTTGAACATGGCTGCCTGCGGTTCACCGAGCTCATGGAACGGAGGCCTGCTGGTGGCCATCTCAATGACGGTGCAGCCCAGGGCCCAGATATCAGCCGGGGCACCATACCCACGAGGTCCTCGATCAATAATCTCGGCGCCATGTACTGCAGAGTGCCTATTGGGAAAAAATACAACAAAGATGGTGGGTACCATATTGTTTAAAAACTAAGTGGACCATTAGTAAACGAGTGTGTGAACTTTAACTCTCGTATTAATGACACACGGGGGCCGGTCTCATGCGTAAATGATGTCACTGCATCTCTTCTTTGACCAGACACATGCAAATGCCTTTCTTTAACACTAGTCAGCGTTGACAGAGGATCACTCAGCCCCTCGAAGGATAAATGGGCCCAATCTAATTCAATCAACACATATTAGTGCATGGCAGATACAGGAGGACCAGAATGTAAGAAATGTGGTGCCTGACCTTTAGACACTGCCCAGTGGAGGAGACGTGGTGACGAGGAGGGTGGCGACAAGGAGGGTGGTGACGAGGAGGGTGGTGACGAGGAGGGTGGTGACGAGGAGGGTGGCAGTGGTGATGGTGAATGTAGGAAGTGCTCTAACAGGTATACACAGAAGGCGCTGAGAACATGGATGGAAAAGTGCTTGATTCTGCCTGATTTGAGTCAGGGGAAGCTCTAGCTGTGTCAATTTGGGTCTCTGAGAAATAATACCAAGTCAGAATTAGACATACAAGAGATTTACTGCGAGAAGGGGTATGACGGATAAAGGGGGAGGGAGCAGGCTGGGCAGGGGGAGCTGTCAGACTGCAGTGCAGGTCTGACCCCTGCGAAAGGAGCGGGAAGGAAGCATCTTGATGGCAGAGCACCTCTGAGACAGCTTTGGCCAGGCCACCGGGGAGGCCCTGACCCAAAGCTGCCCACGGGAAGAGCGCCACACTGTGTCTAGTACCCTCACCATGCTCGGTCATTGGCCAGGAGCAGGCAGGGCAAAGCATGACCTTGCCATGAACATGGTGGCCAATCTAAACGGGTGGCGGCTGGGCCGCCAGTGAAGTAGACTCCCGCCGCGAGGCTCGAAGAGGCGGACAAAGGAACAGGAGAACTTCTGGGCAAGGTGAAGAGCTCGAGCCAAAGCCCGTGGGCGTGAAGTATAGAGTGGACCCAGGAGCGCTGTGTGTTCTGAAGGTTCTGGCTTTGGACTTTCTCCTGTGGATCACGAGCCACCAGGGGCTGCCACAGGGAAGGTGGTGATCAGGGAGGGGAAGGGGTTGCTGGAGAGATGGGGCAGGGAGGTCAATCAAGGGCGCTAAGAGTAAAATCTTTGGTTTCCCTTGAAACTAATCCTGAGGCAAGAGGCAAGGGGAATGTGGAAGCAACAGCAGCAGATGCTATGTGCTGGCAAAGAGGTTTATAATAAACAGCCAACTCAGAAATGATACTGGCCATGGTGTGAATAGAGAACACTGAGGCACAGAGAAATTCCAGTCTCTGCCTCAAGATCACAAAACCAAAGTAGGTTTCCTGAGTCTTGATCAATGCAAATAAAGGGCTCATTGGTTAAAATAAGCTTGGAGATGCTACCTACTACATCCTCCTCCTCTTGAACATCCAATGTCTTACCAGCTTGTTTCTTTCCCATGAGCATTTTAAAGGCTCTAGGACAGCTCCGACCAATAGGATGTTCTGCAATAATGGAAATGTTCTATTCTGTGCAGTTCAGTATGGTAGCCACTAGCCACGTAGCACTGCTGGGCTCTTGAAATGTGGCCGGTGACACTGAAGAAATGAATTTAAATTAAAAAAATTTTAAATTTTATTTCATTCTTCCTAATTTAAAGTTAAATATACATTAGGTTGTATCAGTGAGTGCAAGAAATCAGCAGGGCAAAAATGATGGCTTTGGTCTCCCGAGCTGAAAGCCTGGTGGGCAAGTGTTTGGTTGGCTGCAGGGTTGGGCGAGATGGAGGCTCGTAGCACTTGTTGCAGTGTCAGGAAATCTCAGAGCCCCAGGAAGGGAACTTTCAGTGACACCACATCCCCTACAGGCTCCTACTACAGTGAACAACAGAGAGAGAGGCCTTGGCAGGGAATGTGCCTTCTAACTAACCCATAATTCATTAACTTAGGAAAGACGTGACGCTGTGCTGTTTATTAGGCTGTTATCTCTCAGCTCTGCTATGCTGGGTCTGGGACTGTGCAAACCACATTTCTGCCTTGTCTGCTGCTCCCTGGTGGGTTGGGAGGGGTTGGAGGGAGAGAGCATGCCTGTGCACAAGCGACAGGAAGGAGAGGTTGGTTAGCAAGCGTCACTTTGGACCCTCAGGTGGTTCCAGTAGCAGCGCTTGGCTCATTCCCAGCTTTTTTGTCCCCCCCCCCCACTTCCAGAACCGGCCCCCTCAGAGTTACGTGCTCCAGCCCAGTGGCATCCCCCACTGAAAGGTTTGAATCCCACCCTCCCCTTTGCTCCCTCAGGCCCTAGGGATGTAGGCTGCTTTCTGATAACTCAGTCCCAGGAAACAGTTCTTTCAACTAAATTCTCTCTGTAAAAATAACTGGGGTGATTTCAATTTTCCTGCCTGGATCCTAATATAATCTCTAAAAGTTAATTCTTAAAAAAGAAAATAAACTTAGAAAGTTATGCAGCAGTAGAAAATAGCACTAAACCAAATTGCAATGGCTTATTGACCCTGACTGAATAACTGTCCTTAGTACAACTGTTTCACAATTGGAGGATTAGTCTGCTTAATGCTAAATTTGGAGATTTTCTTTATATGGAACCATAGTGAACATCACTCTTTCTAAAGGTAGGGACTTAGCAATGACATCCATATTAGTTATTTACTGCTATATAATAAATTACCCCAAAGAAAAATGGAGCTGGATGAATCAGGCTCCCTGACTTGAGACTATACTACAAAGCTACAGTAATCAAGACAGTATGGTACTGGCACAAAAACAGAAACACAGATCAAGGGAACAGGATAGAAAGCCCAGAGATAAACCCACGCACCTATGGTCAACTAATCTGTGACAAAGGAGGCGAGGAAATACAATGGAGAAAAGACAGTCTCTTCAATAAGTGGTGCTGGGAAAACTGGACAGCTACATGTAAAAGAATGAAATAGAACACTCCCTAACACCATCCACAAAAATAAACTCAAAACGTATTAAAGACTTAAATGTAAGGTCAGACACAATAAAACTCTTAGAGGAAAACATAGGCAGAACACTCTTTGACATAAATCGCAACAAGATCTTTTTTGACCCATATCGTAATGAAAATAAAAACAAAAATAAACAAATGGGGTCTAACTAAACTTAAAAGCTTTTGCACAACAAAGGAAACCATAAACAAAACAAAAAGACAACCCTCAGAATGGGAGAAAATATTTGCAAATGAAGCGACCAACAAGGGATTAATCTCCAAAATATACAAACAGCTCATGCAGCTCAATATCAAAAAAACAAACAACCCAATCAAAAAATGGGCATAAGATCTAAATTGACATTTCTCCAAAGAAGACACACAAATGGCCAACAAACACATGAAAAGATGCTCAACATCACTAATCATTAGAGAAATGCAAATCAAAACTACAATGAGGTATAACCTCACACCGGTCAGAATGGCCATCATCAAGAAGTCTACAAACAATAAATGCTGGAGAGGGTGTGGAGAAAAGGGAACCCTTTTGCACTGTTGGTAGGAATGTACATTGGTATAGCCACTATAGAGAACAGTATGGAGATTCCTTAAAAAACTAACAATAGAACTACCGTATGACCCAGCAATCCCACTCCAGGGCATATACCCAGAGAAAACCATAATTCGAAAAGATACATGCACCCCAATGTTCACTGCAGCACTATTTACAATAGCCAGGACATGGAAGTAACCTAAATGTCCATCAACAGAGGAATGGATAAAGAATATTTGGTACATATATACAATGGAATATTACTCAGCCATAAAAAAGAACAAAATAATGCCATTTGCAGCAACATGATGGGCATAGAGATTGTCATACTGAGTAAAGTTAAGCCAGACAGAGAAAGACAAATATCATACGATATTGCTTATATGCAGAGTTTAAAATAAGGGTACAAATGAACCAAAACAGAAGTAGAGTCACAGATGTAGAAAACAAACTTATGGTTGCCAGGGGATAAGGGGGAGAGGAATAAATTGGGAGATTGGGATCGACATATACACACTACGATATATAAAACAGATAACTAATAAGGACCTACTGTATAGCACAGGGAACTCTATTCAGTACTCTGTAATGGCCTATATGGGAAAAGAATCTTAAAAAAAGAGTGGATATATGTATAACTGATTCACTTTGCTGTACAGGTGGAACTAACACAACATTGTAAATAAACTATACTCCAGTAAAAAAAAAAGTAACTTATTGCATGCTAGGAAAAAAAGAAGTTACCCCAAACGTTAGCAGTTTAAAACAACAGTTATGATCTCACACAGTTTCTAATGATTGGAATGTAGGGCTGGTTATGTAACAGCTGGGCCGGGTAGATCTGGCCCAGGGTCTTTCATCAGACTGCAGCCAAGGTGTTGGCTGGGGCTGCAGTCATCTGAAGGCTAGACTGGGGCTGGAGGATTCACTTCCAAGCTCACAGGGGTGTTGGGAAGAGCCTTTGTTTTCTCGCCACATGGGATCCTCCATAAGGCTGCTTAAAATACGGCTTCCCCCAGAGCGTGTAATCCAAGAGAAAGCAAGAGGAAAGCCGCGCTGCCTTCTCTGGCCTAGCCTCCAGGTCACACACCGCCACTCTGTCCTAATCTATTCATTAGAAGCAAGCCACTAAGTCCGGGCAGTGTTCAACGGGAAGGGAATACAAACAAGGCTGTGAATACCAGGAGGTGAGGGTCACTGGGGGCCATCTTGGAGGCTTCTGGCCACAACATGTGACTTTCAACTGGCACTCAATGGCTTACAAAGCAGCTCCACGTAGCACTGTCCATCTGACTCTCACAACTCCATAAGCACGGGCAGAAGAGGTATGATGTACTGTTGCTCCCATTTTACATATGGGGAAACCAAGGCTCAGAGAAGCTAGGGAATTCATTCAAGCTAAAGCCCAGGTCTTCTGTCTTCAAAGTTGGAGCTACACACCATGACATCCC